GCGGGGAGGGGTGTTGGGGGCTCTGCTGTGACCCATCCACGTCCCAGGTGGAGGTTTCCAGTGGGCAGTGAGAGAGATGAATCCGGGTTTGACAGGAGAGATCTGGGCTGGGCACAGATATTTGCAATTTGTAGACAATAAATAGGTAGGTAGGTAGGTAGACGATAGATACATAGATAGGTAGGTAGGTCGGTAGGTAGAAGAGTAATGCAGATAGAGACAAGATGGGGACTGCAATCCAGGGGTCCCCAAGACCCCCCCCTCAGGCTCCCTGGTTCACTAGAGGGACTCAGAAGCTGGCAAAGCTGGTAGACCCACAGTCACGGTAAGTCTAGCGAAAGGGTGGAGGCCCGTGGGGCGAGCAGAGACGTGGCACCAGCTTCCGTGGCCTCTCCCGTGGACTCGCATGAACGGCGCCCAGGCCCTTCGCGATGATGCGTGACGGCCAGCAGGGAGCATTGCCCCCAGGGACACTCACCCGGGCCCGGGGTTTTTTGTTGTGGTTGGTTTTTAATATGTTTTTATTGATTTCAGAGAGGTAGGGAGAGGAAGAGAGATAGGGACATTCATAATGAGAGAATCATTGACGGGCCGCCTCCTGCACGTCCCACACTGGGGTTCGAGCCTGCCACCAGGGCATGTGTCCTGACCGGGAATCGAACTGTGACCTCCTGGTTCATAGGTCAGTGCTCAACCACTGAGCCACGCCGGCCGGGCAGGGTTTTGTTGGAGGTTGGTCACATACACGTGGCTGACCACCATGTGGCTGACCTCGGTCTTGGGAAAGGAGACAGTTGACAGGGAAGGACATGTCTGATGGGACTGGAGTGGGGGATGCTCATCCTATAGAATAAAACCCTAATATGCAAATTGATACAACAGCGGAATGACCAGGTGCTATGATGTGCACTGACCACCAGGGGGAGCGCCGCGCAGCCAGAAGCCGGGCTCACGGCTGGCGAGCGCAGCAGCGGTGGTGGGAGCCTCTCCTGCCTCGGCAGCAGCGCTAAGGACCCCTCGGGGGGTGTCTGCCAAGAGGTCTCAGACTGGGAGAGGGCGCAGCCAGGCTGAGGGTCCCCGCCCCCACCCCCCATGTACGAATGCTGTGCACCGGGCCTCTAGTAGAATATAAACCTGGTAAAGAGATCGGAGCCAGGGAATCGAGGCCTCAAATGCCAGGCCCAGGGGCTGGGACTCTGTCCTGGGGCGCTGGGAACCCAGGAGGGCGGGGTCCTCGCGGGGTGCAGAAAGACCCCCTGCGGCTGTGTGGAGGCCGGGAGGCCAGGGAGGAGGCTGGGGCCGAGGTCCAGGCAGGAGAGGATGAGCCTGGGGCCTCGGCTCTGGGGACAGGAAGGAGGGGCGGCGTCCCTCCTCTATTGGTCCACATCTCTCACCCTGATCGCCCCCATCCTGAACTCCGTGCCTTTCCCCTCCTCTCTGTGTCCCCTGAAGCCAAACCGTCCTTCCTCCTGACCCAGAAACAGCCCCTCCCTCCCTCCCCCGCCCCCAGCATGTGGTCGGAGGGAGCGCTCCCCGTTCTCTGGGATCTGAGCTGCCAGAAGCTGGGAAGTCCCCTGAGGAGTCTACCCTGAGTCCTTCCTGCTGCAGGGCCAGGAACGGAGCTCAAAACACAGCCGCGGGGCCGGGGGGCCGGCCGCAGTGACGGACGCCCTCTCTCCTCTCCCAACACCACACGCAGGTCATCTACATGGGCCGGAACCCGCGGGACGTGGCCGTGTCGCTCTATCACTACTCCAAGATCGCCGGGCAGCTGAAGGACCCCGGCACCCCCGACCAGTTCCTGCAGAACTTCCTCAAAGGCGAAGGTGAGGACGGGGGGTCTGAAATGAAGAGAATACTGATAATATTTACAACTCCGGTAATTTGGGTGGCGATTTCACAACAAGTGCCTTCAAACATTAGGAAGCCCTGTTTGTTTGGCACAGGCCCAGCACCCCCCTCTCCTCCCCTCCTCTCGCCCCCACTTCCCCTCCCGTAAGGCCTCCTCCACTGTGGATGATGCACCAGGTCCTGGGCGACAGCAGTGAGCAGACCCGGGTCCCTGAGGCCGCGAGCGGGAGCGGGACCGGGGACAGAGATAAACTCGGGGGCCGAGGGGAGAAGAGCTGGTGAAGGGCAGGCGGGAGAGGGGGGCCAGGACTGCGTGGGCGGGGTTTTAAGAAGGTGGAGCCCTGGCCGGTGTGGCTCAGTGGATAGAGCATGGGCCTGTGCACTGAAGGGTCCCAGGTTTGATTCCGGTCAAGGGCACATGCCTGGGTTGTGGGCTTGATCCCCAGTGGGGGGCGTGCAGGAGGCAGCCCATCAATGATTCTCTCTCATCATTGATGTTTCTATCTCTCCCTCCCCCTTCCTCTCTGAAATCAATAAAGATATATTTTAAAAGAAAAAAACAAAAGAAGGGGGAGGGGGAGGAGGAGGCCTATTTTTTAAAAAAGTGGAGGGGGAGGACCCCAAGAGAAGACAACAGCGACCATCTAAGGGAGGAGAGGGAGCCACGGGCAACCTGGGGAAAGTGTCCTGGGCAGAGGGACCAGCCAGTGCAAAGGCCCTGGGGTGAGCGTGCGGGTGCTTGGATGGAGGCCTTCTGGCCAGAGCCGAGTGAGTGTGTGTGCGTGTGGGGGAGGGGGCAGTGGGGGGGAATGAAGGCAGACAGTGAGGACTGCGGCTTTCCTCTGAGTCAGGGGAGCCATAGGTGGCTTCTGAGCAGGGGAGGCCATAGGAGAATGACCTCGTGTTGAACTGCGGCTACGGAAAGTGAGCTTCGTGGGTGGCTGTGATCTGGAAGGAAGCGGGAAGCAGTGGAAGGGAACACCCTTGGGAGTTAGACTGGGACCCTGTCTGGGCCCCATCAGACATAACCTGGGACAGGCACCCGGGAGAGAGAGAGAGGCCTTCGGACTGGGGCAATCAGGGAGGGCTTCCTGGAAGAAGAGGCCATGCAGCGTGCCTACAGCTTTGCCCAGCTGCAAGGAGGACGCGCTGGGCTTCCAGCTGGAACAACCCACCATGCACGTGCCCAGCTGTGCTAGGTTGAGAGCGAAGGTCTGTCCTGAGAGCCCAGGAGCCTGGGAGGCACCCTCACCCACGGCCTGACATGTTTCCTTCGTGTGTGTGTGCGCCATCTGCCCCTTTCGCCCCCTCACTTCGTGTGTGTTTTGTATTCTCTGTTCTGTCGCTACTTTTTTTTTTTTAACACAGAGAGGAAGGGAGAGGGAGAGGGAGAGAGAGAAACATTAATAACGAGAGAGAATCATGGACGGGATGCCTCCTGCACGCCCCACACCGGGGATCGAGCCTGGCCGGGAATTGAACCGTGACCTCCCGGTTCTAGAGTCCATAGGGAGCCTCGCCAGGAGGGTCTGTCAGTCCCTTTTGCGTGTGGGAAGAGCCTGGATCCCGGTGTCAGTGAAGCCGTTAAAATCTCTCAGAGCCTCGGAGGTCTCGTCCTTAAAGCGGGCGGGAAGCGCCAGCTCGCGGGGCCGTTGTGAGGACCACAGCGCCTGGCACCGGCCTGTTGTCACCCCCCGACCAGGTCAGAAGCCGCAGCACGTCCTCTTTGCAGCCGGGCAAAGCCGTAGGCACGCTGCACGGCCTCTTCTTCCAGGAAGCCTTCCCTGATTGCTCCAGCCCGAAGGCATCTCTCTCTCTCTC